TGATTTGTTGTCCTTAATTGTGGTCAAGAAATGGATAAAACATTTCCTTGGAGACCTTGTTTAATTTTTATAGAATTTGTTTATTATAATTAACAATGTACTGCATGAACATGTTTGCTGGAACGCGGAAATACGTTAACTGTTGCCAGTCGCATTGGTTAAATTGATTCACAAAAGAGTGTTGCATAAATTGGAAATTAAAAAAAATGTATAGGATTCTTGGAGTTCAGTCCGAATTAATAAAAGAATGTAGTGGGAATAAAGCTCATCACGAGCTGGCTTGCGAGCCAAAAAACTTATTCAGCTTGCGAACCTACTAAGTTATTTGGCTTGCAAGCTGGCTCATGCGGTACCTTAAGTGGAATAGCAGAGAAGAAATAGTAGTGTTGTCACCATATTATATTCATTGTATAAACTATTTAATAATCTTAAATTTGTTTGTTATAAGCATTATCTGTTGATATGGACAAAAAAAAAAAAAGATTTTTTACCAAGTCCAAGATTTTAGTCTTTTGAGTAACGCATGTTCTATTTGTTTAATATATAAAAAACTGTATTATTGATGAAGCAGCAAATATATAATTAATTATCAATGCGAATTAATTGTCAACGTTGACATGTATTATTTTGTGATACACATTTGTGGCTAAAAAGACTAAAAAGAAAAAAAATTTTTTTGACAAATTATAATAAAAAACACAAAAATGGAGAACATTTTAGATAAAAATGATGAATATTCAAAAAAAAGATGTATGTTTTATGAGGAATGTCCAACTTGTAATAGATATAATACTAATCAGGCATGGTGTCAATCATGTGATCCAAAGCTATTAACTGAAGGATGGACTAGTGGTAATGAAACATTAGATGAGTTGATTAAAAGTACACAACTCAAAACAATTGGATGTGATAATAAATATTATCTTTTATGGATTTCTTATAATGATTTAACAAATATTGAAAAGATAGGTGAAGGTGGCTTTGCAACTATATATGAAGCTACTTGGTTAAATGATGATAAAAGTACAAATGATGATAATGAAAGAACCAGTAAATGTATGCCCGTGACATTAAAAAAACTACATAATTCACAGAATATTTCTAATGAACTTCTTAATGAGGTATTTTGTTTTGTTTTTTTATTTATTTTTGGATTTTTTAAATATTATTGTTGTAATAAATATTTTATTGTTCAAAAATTATATGAAGCTTAAAGATGATACAATTCGTATTTATGGATTAACACAAGATCCAATTACAAAAGAATATATCTTTGTAATATATTTCATGGAAGAGGAAAGGGATAGAAAATATGGGGTATGTCCAACTTGCAATAGATATAATACTAATAGTTCATGGTGTAAATCATGTGATCCAAAATTATTAACTGAAGGATGGACTAGTGGCAATGAAACATTAGATGAATTGATTAAAAGTATACAACTTAAAGCAATTGGGTATGATAATAAATATTATCTTTCATGGATTTCTTATAATGATTTAACAAATATTGAAAAGGTGGGTGAAGGTGGTTTTGCAACTATATACAAAGCTACTTGGGTAAATGGTAAGAAGTACACAGATGATAGAAAAAGGTATAGTAAAGATAGGACTGTAGCATTAAAAAAACTACATAATTCACAGAATATTTCTAATGAATTTCTTAATGAGGCAAATTATTTTATTTTTCTATTTATTTTCAAATTTTTTGATTATTATTATTGTAATTAAATATTTTATTTTGTAATTTTAGTTCAAAAATTATACAGAGTTCCTTGATAAAACAGATATAATTCATATTTATGGATTAACACAAGATCCAATTACAAAAGAATATATATTTGTAATGAAATATATAAAAGATGGAAATCTTCAAAATTATTTAACAAAATATTTTAAAAATTTAAAATGGGAACATAAAATTAAGATTCTTGGGCAAATTATCACTGGGTTAAAAGATATTCATGAAAAAGGAATTATTCATCATGATCTTCATAGTGGTAATATTCTTCAGTCTAAAAAATTTGTTGAGTCATATATTACAGATTTAGGATTATCATGCCCAGCTAGTCAAGCATTATCATCAAACAAAAATGATATATTTGGAGTACTACCATATGTTGCACCAGAAATTTTAAAGGAGAAACCATATACAACAGCATCAGATATATACAGTTTTGGAGTTCTGATGTCTGTAGTATCAACTGGACAACAACCTTTTAATAATTTTGCACATCATGTAGAACTTGCAACAAAAATATGTGGAGGTGCAAGACCAAGATTCTCAAACAACACACCAAAATTCTACATTGAACTAGCATTCAGATGCATGGATGCTGATCCAGATAAACGTCCAACTGCTAAAGAAATTCTTGAGATTATTTATGATTGGAGTTCATTTATTTCAGGTTGGGGATATTCAGAAAAACAAAAAGAATGTAAGGATGAAAAATCAATTAGAAAAATGTTTTATAAAATGGATGAAATAAAATTTGATCCTTCAACAATTACTGCAACAATTCATCCAAATGCAGTTTATACTAGCAGATTATTAAAATTTACAAACCTTCCCAACCTGTGAATTCCAATAAAGTAACAATTATTGGTAATAATGATGGTAATTATTAACATTTAATCTTTTTTTTAAAATTTATAATATTTATTAATATTTATTCTTGTGATGAATATTTTATAGATTCTAAACAAATTGAATTAATAGATTCTAAACAAATTGAATTAACTATACCAGATGAATGAATTACTCAAACAAGTTAAATTTTGTCATTTTATTATGTATTAAAATTATTTATTATTTTATTTTATTTATTTAGCCACTATAGTTTTGATATTAAATAGATTTTTATATTTAAAAAATATAAATTCTGTTTATTTCATATAGTGATTTATTTATTTTTACGAGACAATATTTATTTATATTAATATATGTAAATAAGTTTAGTAAAACGTATCAAACAACAAATCATTGCCACCATCAAAAATAGGTGAAGATGAAGAGTTGGAATCAATTGCTTGATAATGAACTATTGTTTTTTTTTGACCAGAAAAAAATATCTTGATTGCATATGTAGTGTTAAATGAATTTGAGATCAAAATATTGTTGTATGATTATCCAAGTGCACCATGCACCTATTGTTCAATGCTTATGATGGGGCCTTCTGTTATGTGGGTACCTTACGATTCAAGTGAATCTTACATGTTAACTTCAGCTTTCCCCAAAAATGTTGACCTTTCTAAACATTTATCGATATCAATATTAATATTATTTGTATTAGGTATTTTACACAGTACTAGCTCGACAAAATCGACCAAGATGACAAGGTAATCCTTTAATGAAACATTATGCGTATAAACAACTCAAATTTCATGTACTTTTATAGTAACGTTTCTTGGATAAGAGAAAGCGACAACAATTTTCAACTTGAGAAACCCAAAACCATTCATTAATAAATACCATGTTCAGTTTAATCCTCATTATTTTTATTGTCATCAATTAAATTCGCTCCCCAAAAATATCAAATGTAATAGTAACTAGTACATATGAAAAGGGTGCACACACCCATGATGGTAGCAATAGACGCTCTTATGATCCATGTTTCATTTTGTTAAATTAAACAAATTCAGTATGAATATACAAGGACATTCATTATCAACAAAAAACTCATCGCGCATTTAACATGTGAAATTTACGCGATTACAACAATTAAATGATCAATTGGTCAATAAAATTGATTGCGTGTAAAGTATCTTTCACAAACATACAATCAGATATATAAAAATAAATTATTTCACTTTTTATTATTTACAAAAAAAAGAAATAAATTCTTTTAGCAAAATAATTTTAAAAATTATTTGCAAACTTCCTCTGTTGACTGTGGCTCAACCAATTTCTTGTGCAAATATGAAAGATTCTGATATGAATTCACTCAGGAACTCGCAAGCTGGTGTTGGTTATTCTTAAAAACTAATAAAGAATCACTATCCTCAAGTCGATGGGCGACTCTTTAAAAAATCTAGTTCTTGATTTCATGGGTTATAGTTAACTCAGCTAAACAAACATCTAGAGATTTAAATAATCTTCGCCTTTTACCAGATGGAATATAGAAGGGCTTTAAAGAAGATGTAACTTCTTTTTATATAAATGTGGGGTTTAACTTCATCGCTATCATCTCTTATGGATGTAGATGCAATTTTTTCTTCTTCTGAAAAATCTCCAGCAATGAAAACACTTAAAATCAGAGTTTATGCAGCGTACTGAATGCACAACCAATTCGTAGTTGCAATCAATAGAAAAATTTACGAAAAAATTATATCATTGGTCTAGAAAAGTTATATCTAATGACTCTAACATCAAATTGGTCCTCATTGTATTAGAGATGCACATTCATTGAGTGAACTTTTAAATCAAACATTCCTGCAAAAAAGAAAAACTTTAAATTGAAAAAAAGACAGGATGGGAGAGAAAAGGAGGCGAATTTTCATTCCTCAATAATATTAAATTAATTGAATCATGAATTTCGTCTTATCATTCACTAATCATCATCGTAGTGAATTTTTACTTACGAATCCCTATATATACTACTTGAAATTAAGGCTGATAATTAAGCTCCTAAATTTTCAGCAGTTGAAGAGAATAGAGGTGCTGGTACCATTTCTCTTTGATCCAGAAGTGAGAACTTTCATAACCAAGCGGTGAGGTTATATACAGGGTGTTAAGAAAAAAACGGCGGTTGGTAAAAATATTGTTTTTAATGAAAAGTAGCCAAAATTATATGATGAAAATTATAACAGAGAATCGGAGGATCTTAGATTATAACATATGAAATTTTTGAAGCATGTTATTATGTAGGCTTTAGAGCAATTATTAAAGAAATTTACACATTAAATTGTTTTTTTCAAAATAATCAAATTCCTTTTATTTCCAATTGACAAAATTCTAGAAAATCTGGAAGTATGAAAGTTTATATATATAATCTCCAGAACTTTCATTACACACCGGTATAATTTTTTGTATGATTATTATGTATATTTTTGTGTCAGGCTTATTATTAAAAATTTATGTGTTAAAATTTCAGAGACAAAAATTTTGCAAAGTTTTAAAAAAAAGATATGAATTAGCTTTACAGAAAATTGGCAATAGCATATCATGTCTATTTTTTTTATTTAACAAGGTAATTTGATAAACTTTCAAACGAATCTAAATTTATTTGATTATGTTATGTAATTGTTGAGATATGCAATTTTTTGTCACCGCCATTTTTTTCTTAACACACTGTAAATGACAATTCCGAAGCTGAATATTCTCCAGATCCACATGGTGAATATGGTGTACACTCATGATTAAAAAATTGAAATGTATTTTCAAGAAATTTAAATGAAGGACTCAAATCTAATGAATAAGTTTCTGAATCTAGTGAATCAGTTTTTGAATCTAATGAAAATTAATAAAAAGCATTTGTTAAATTCTTACCTCTTCTACATCATCATGCATAGTATTACCAAATAAGTTGTTTATATCATTATTGCCATCAGTCTAATCATAAATGTCATTACCGTTTTCATTAGAAACAAGATCCATATTAATATTTTCATTTCTAGGAGTCAAGTCATCAACTTCTTTTAATTTGTCAATTCATCGATTTGGTGGTAATTCCGTTGGTTCATTTTCTTTGTAAAAGTGTCTGTTGAAGATATCATATATATTTTTTAAGAAACTTTGAACAAGTCAGCTGCTTCTTTTTCTATCTCAATGATCTCCTCTATACATGAAGTTGAAATTAAAACCCCAAAGTCGAAATGTTTTGACTTGAGGCAACTACATAGTAAAAATCAGTTTCGACCTTATTTCAACCCTATTTCGACCAGATCTACAAATGGTCAAAATAGTTTCGACTTCATGTATAATCTCTTCAATTTTTTCTAATGACAATTTGCGAATTACACCAAATTCTGTTATAATTTCTTTTGTGAGAGATCCAACGATCTTCTATAAAAAAAAAATTTAGGTTAGTTTTTAAAAATTATCAATATGTTCAAATGAATGTGATTCCTTACATGATCAGTACTTGTGTTTCTCTCCTGCTCCTTATTTAAACGTAATATATTTGGATGTTTGGCAATACTATGTATCAGGAAAAAATATTAAAAAAAATATTGAGCAATAAAAGCTAAAAATTAGGGAGTTTAATGTTAACTAATAAATAATATTTACTTGTTTCCTCCAACAACAAATTCGCCTTTTCTCTTTTGTTGTTCTTCTGAAGATGACATTGTTTTTTTGGCAAAGATTGATAAAAATTAATTGATTAACTGATAACCAATTTAGTGTAACACTGTAAATATAGACACGAATTAAAAAAATTGTTTTTCCAAAAAAAAAATTTTTAGACAAAGAGTCAGTCCAAATTGAATGTTTGAAATGGTGGTTCTCCCGAAGAAATGTATTATTTATTAATATCCAGAGGTACAAAATTTTTTTTTTGTATTATGTCTTTTTTATTTTATAAATATAATTATTAAATCGAGACGTGGGCACATTTTTTAGGTAATCCTTATCAAGATAATAAATATTTGGTATAACTGTTTTCGTAATTACAGTCAACCCTCGTCACAGCGGATTTTATTAATAAATTCGTGCCACAGTGTTAACGGATTTTTGATTGGGAACCTTCTATATGACTAACTAATCTTACCACAGCGGATTCACGTGACATAGAAATTTATAAAATTATCCGAATTACTAAAATAGGCAACAAAAATTTTTTTAATTTACGGATTTAAATACAAAACAATAAACGGATTATTTGATCAAGTAACAAAATTTCCCAAGTTTCTAAAATAATTTATCAAATGCTTGCGATTAACAATATTTTTTAAGTTTCTAAATAATTGATCAAACTTCTGCAAGTAACAAACAATTAAATGAATTATTTGTTCAAACGTTTACAAGTAACAAAATTTTCCAAGTTTCTAAAATAATTTATCAAATGCTTGCGAGTAACA